TACAAGATATTAAATATCTTTTATAAGATCTATCAAATGAACTGCGTCAACCCCTATTTATAGTGGTCTGATATGTCATTCTTGCTAAGCGAGATCTGAACACCGCTTAATGTGCCTGCAATCTTCCTCCTTAAGAAATGACAGCTCATTTGCAATTCGTCTTGATCACCTTAATCTCGCTTAGTACGCCTTTAGCTTGCTTAGTGAGTTAACCCTTGTTTCACCCTAATGTTATTTAACCTTGAAGCTTTTTAACATAGCATATCTCACTTTGCGTGTCTACCAACAAGTTTTGGTATCTGGATGAGGTTTGTCTAGAAATTTGCTGCATATTTATGGCTTAGCGAGGTATGGTACTTCGCTAAGCGAGCCTTGATGCAAAAAAAATGATGTGTTTTTTCTGATATTGGTGTTGTCGCTACGCGAAAAATGACACAGAGTCGCCACCGGATTTTATTTATCCCACGGGGGGAAAGGGAAATAGCGATAAAACCTTTGGGAAAAGAGCGTGGTCATTGCAACCAAGTCTTAGGGTTCGGGAGTCGGTTATGCGAGGGGAAGGTATTAGCACCCCCTCGCATCCATCGTACTCGATGGGAACCTCCTAGGTTATTTCGCGTGAATGGGTGTTTTATTCTAAAAGTTTGCTTGTTTAAGGAAAAGAGGGATTGGTTTATTTATTTTAATGCTCGCCAAGGATTGTGGCCCTTGTGCCTACGTATCCTCACTTAAAAGAAGTGAAGAATCAGAGCTCCGTAGTTCGGAGGCTTTATGAAATTGTTGTTTGTTGGTTGATTTTATACCTTGAAAAAGGTTTTTTTGGATTGACGCCCTAAGGCAAAAATAGTTTGATGAGTTGATGTTGTTTTTAGTTTTTTTTTGAAGAAAATGTGTTCTTGACTAGGATTATACAAAAGACTTTAGATAGAGATGAATGTATCGAATAACCAAGTCGAGCGCCTTGTATTCGAAACATTCGGAATGAGTGTAGGAGGGTTCCATTCTCATTCCTTCTCCACCACTTTAAAGTTCATGGTGCATAATTCCAATCATATATTTTATTGTGTTTTTTTTTGTATTTTTATGCGAAAAGAGAAACACTTGATGTTGGATCAAGATTTATTGCTTGTAAAGATATTTGAAGTGATGCGATTTAGGTCGATGGCGGTGCACAAGGCATCCGACTTACATGGTCAAAAATGGCTCGATAAAATCGAGAGTTTACTTTTTAAAATAGTTTTTGGAAACAAAGGTCAACAAGGGCCATAACAATATTCACATACAAACATCATACAAACATAAGCCACACGGCTCAAAAAAATCGAGACACACAAAAAAAACGAAAAATTTTTTTTAAGGTAAAACCGGTAAAAAAATATGGAGGAAACAGTGGTGTGACACGGGTGAAAAAAGTTGAAACAGTGATGCAACACGCCCGGCCGTGTTGTGTGATATGGCCCGTGTTGCAAGGCCTGGGGAAAAAAACTTCATACAGTAGCGTGACACGGTCGGTCGTGTCGTGTGACACGGCCCGTGTTGCTGGTCCAGGTCGAAATCTCACATTTTTTTTTATGTTTTCGTTTCTTTTGTGGTTCCTTGAGGATGGTTTCTTAGTCCCTTAGGGGATCTTACATGATATACAGTTCAACAACACATAAAAGAGTGAATGAAATGAATATAAAAGCAAAGAATAAAAGGAGAAAGATTTAAAGAAATGGATACCAAGAGCTTTCTATTCTTCTTGCAAGTACTCCAATGACCTTTGTTGGATGTGCTCTCCCCTCTTCACTCTATGTTGTGAAGGTTTGGTTTCTCAATGATCCTCTTGTGTCTCTATCTCACTCTCTTTTTTCTATTTTTTTGGGGGTTTCTTGCTAACTATTTTTCTGGTTTTTTGCTCTTACTCTTTGCTCTCTATGTGTAGTCTCTACTCTGCTTGCTTCTTGTGTTCTGTTCTGTTTTGATAGTAAGGAATACTATGTTTTCTATGCTTGCTTGCAGCCCATTTTCCACCTTTTCTGTCAACTTTTTCTGCTGTCCTAAAGCCACACACTTTGCACACCTTTTCATCACCAACTTTCCATTCTTGGCAATGCCTTTTTCTTCCTTTTGTGCAGCCCCACTTTTCCCTTCTATTTCTAGTATGACTTGCTGCATTTTTCTGCTGTAGCATACTATACTACTATCCCTCTTTTTGCCCATTAGTCTCTTGGATGGTATTGCTTTGTATCTTGCCATGTAGCCAATTGTTACCACTCTTTGACAGCATTTGCAAACTGATATTTAGCAAGTAAATATATCATTTGCATGCTATTTCCTTGACTTTGTGACATAAAAAATGATCTTGTAACATAGTACATGTTGTCCTCTTGATTTTGTGACATGTAGTAATTCTTCAACTCTTGCATGGGGCTGTTTTGCCTATGATTGAACATGCATAATCTTGGCCCATAAACATTCCAATGTTGATTTAATTCTTGCATATTTCTTGGATGTTTGTGAGCATAATGTAGCACATGAAAAAAAATGGTGTAGTATGAAGAGTACCATATCATAGATTTGATTAAAGACTTGAATGAAGATTTAGAAATAGATTAATTTCTAAACATTATCTAGAGTTGGAATTTTTGTAACAAATTACATGATTGTAATGTCACAAAATTCCTCTTAGTATTATTTTTATCTTCATTCATGAATCTTGAATTTTGGATGATGGATTCCCTCATGTGCTTAAAAATGAAATCTTGAATTATGCATTGATGATCTTGATTCATGCCTTAATAATTTGCACTCCACTTATGCCATAAAAATAAACATGTATGAAGGAGCTTTGGATTTGGCCTAGCATTCATGTCTATTAATATTTATCTTGAATATCCTTGTATTTTGTCAAGTAACTTCCCCTTGCCAAAATTTTCATGAGTAGAATTTTTCCTCAGATCAAACCTTAGGTGATGAACCTTTTTTCATGTAGTCCGAAAATAGACAAGTTACAACCAAATGGCCTAGTTCGTACCTTGTGAACCCGCATGCTCGATACACAATAGAATGATGTATGATATGCCGAATGTAGGGTATAAAAGGCTAACGGTGAAAATGAGGGTGTGACAGGTGTTTTCTTGGTCCTTTTGGCATGTTTTTGATAAATACGTTGTTAAAATGTTTACATTGGCATTTGGTATATTTTCTTGATAAATTAGAGATTTTCTCATTGATTACTTGCAAATAGAAGTTAATAAGTGCTTATGAATTTTACGTATTTTCAGTACTTATCACAAGGTTGATTGATCTATTTAAAGGTACAAGGAAAAATTGGTTGCCAAAGGATTTACCTAAATTTATGAAGTAGATTACTCAGGGACATTTTCTCCAATTGCTTATTTGGATATTGTTAGTGTGATATCATCTTTAGTGACTAATTACAATTGAAATTTACATTAATTTAATGTGAAAAATATCTTACTTCATGGAGAACTTAAAGAAAAGATCTATGGATGTATCATGTGGATACCCTGAACTTACTACATGCCAATATTGTGTGCAAATTAAAATAATTTTATATGGACTAAAACAATCACCACGAGTATTGTTTGAAAAATTTACCAAAGTTATGATAGACTTGAGATTTAAACAAAGTCAATGAGATCAGACTCTATTTACCAAACATCGAGAAACATAGGGAGTAATGGTATTATTGGTGTATGTGGATGACATTATAATAACAAATGATTAAGAAAATGAGCAACGACTGTTAGGCTAACACTTAGCCAATGAGTTTAAGATTAAGACCTTGAGAAAATTGAAGTGTTTTATGGAATTTGAAATTTGAAATTTCCCACTCTACGAAAGGAATATTTATTTCTCAAAGGAAATACATTATTGATTTTTTGTAAGAGACTGAAAAGATAACATGTAAGCCTACAAGTATAATACTTATATATCTATCACATACTAGACTTGATGTTGCTTTTGCTTAGTCAGCCAATTCATGCACCAACGAAATAAGATTCATTTACAAGTCGCACTATGAATTGTGCAATATTTAAAAGAAATTTCAGGCAAATGAATTTTGTTTAAACAAAATGGAAGTGTGGGTCTTAAAGCATATGTTGATATTGACTATGCAGAGTCAATTGTGAATAGAAGATCAAATACACTTTTTAAAATGGAATCTTGTGACTTGAAAGAGTAAAAAACAAAATGTTGTATCCAGATGTAGTACTAAAGTAGAATTCATAACAATGGTAGAAGAGATATGCAAATTACTATGGTTGAAAAATGATCTTAGAGTACTTAAAGATAAAGAGTGATGAACCAATAAGACTTTATTGTAATAATAAATATGTTATTAGCAGAGCTCATAATTCAACGCAACATGATAGAACTAAATATATCAAAGTTGACATATATTTCATCAAAGAAAAATTAGACAACAATCATATTTTTACACCATATATTTCTTTTCAAGATAACATTGTAAATCTTTTAACTAAGAGGTTGAACATCATTAACTTTGAAAAGATTATTTCCAAATTAGAAAAGATAGATATTTATTCACCGATTTGAAAGAAAGTATTGCAAATAAGTTATTTTTATTGAAAATTTATTACTATTGTTACTAGTAATTTATATTCGTGTCTTTAACCCACTTTTCACAATAAATTACCCTTTTTATATTCTAAGATATAAATAATATGAGTAAAATTTGCAAAAAGACTTGTATTTAAGAAGAAACTAATGTATGAGTAAAAAAGAAGGACAAACAAATGTTTGAAATTGATCTTATAATTATGAAAGGAGGCAGTAATTATAATAGTTCTAATCACTACTCACTCAAAGGCCGAATTCATATACATCATTACAATGATTCACATAACTCCAACGCCTAAGACTTTGTTTACTAAGGTTCACATCAGTATAGCCTTTATGCACATCCATCCAGTCCCATTAAGATTGGTCATTTTTTGGCATTACCATGGCCAATATGTAATGATGATCTCTTAGATATTAACCCTGCCAGCAGTATCACCCATCATTTTGACACTATTATTCTCCAATCCACTTTTAAGCCAAGCAAGGTTACTAATATCTGTAGCTATTGCAGCCAGCTCAAAACTTGGGAAAGATTGAGGCTCCGAATATTCAATAAACTCTGGGCCCAGCAAAGAGTTTTTTGAGTTGTTACCATTTAGAGAAGAACAACATCCATGACCACACTGTTGAGGTACTGATCGGTCGCCATAAGTTCTGTTGAGCATTTTGCAAATTTCCATATCTGATTTTGGCGAATGTAAAATAGGTCCTTGCATTGGAACAGGTCTTGGAACTGATGATGAAGGCTGTGAACCATTACAAGTGTGATATACGTTAAAAGCACTTACACGTGCTACAGGCTTAAAAAGGGTCGGCGGATCTCTGACTTCAACAATTGGCAGATCCGTGACTTCATGGTATGATTGCGGATCAGTCCTTGCTTTCTCTTCATATCTATCGTCCACAACCTCCTTAGAACTAAAATCTCTTCCTTCAGAAGATTTCAATGAATTAAGCTCTCCACATGATAGAGTTTCTTCTGATGATGCTCTGGCTTTCTCCAAACTAATATCTTCCACCATGTTACCTGATTCTAACTTAATTTTACCTTCAACTCCCCGACGCCTCAAAGTAGAATTCCAGTGGTTCTTAATGGCGTTGTCTGTTCTTCCTGGTAGAATCCTGGCAATGGCTGCCCATTTGTTTCCATGGACCGCATGAGCAGCAACTATGATCCTGTCTTCCTCATCTGAAAAAAATTATGTATTTGTTTAGCCTATATATTCCGGATAGAGCAATAATAAACTTTTATACAAGGATCCAGAAGGTTATAAGAAAATATAAATGATACATAAACATTGAAGATCATACACCATGAAGAACAAATGCAATTATGCGACAAAGGACATAAATGACGTTGTATAGACATAGGGATACAGCAATTCATAATATTACATAATCTTATCCTATCATATATTACTAAGCAATTTTGGAAAAAAGGAAGGGACTCATGCATATCCAATCGACAATAGAGACTCACATAATTATTAAATCTTACAAAGCTGCTGTAGTTGAAAAAACTAACTCACTTAAAATATTCTAGACAGCATCAAAACCACATGAACTAAATGAGACACAAAACAAGCCAACACAAATTACTAAACTTAGCAGGGAGTTTGACTTGTAAAAGGGTACCCTTTGTCTAGAAGGAAAACCCTTGGAAGGACCTTTTGTCTCCGATTAAGTGAACCATTACATAAGTTCTTTATCTTTCTCTCTTCTCTAACCCTCAGCTGCCTTTCTAAAATCTGAGAATTTTATCTTGAATCTGAAACAATTTCATTCCAATGTTACCACATAATGCAAGCACAGGTACCATCTTGAGAGGGGTGAGTTGTTTTGACTGAGAGAAGACCTCGGCATGATTGTATATATATACATGACTAACCGTCACTAATATTAGGAAATAAAGAAAGTAGGGGTTTTCTTTTGGGAGTTGGAGGGGAAGGAAGGAGGATAGGGAAGGGAAAAGAGGAATGGTTCCCCACCTGTAATGGGGTTTCATTTTCTCCATAAGACTAAAAGCCCAAAATCCCCCAATTAGGGGGAAACTAAATATGATTTACTACTTTAAAGAATTTTGGAGGGCTTTGAAATATTTCTCAAATCCATTTCCTCTTTATATTACTCTCAAAACAAAGAATATATGTCATAGACTCATAAAAATTCTCCTCCCCTACCCTCTAAAAAACGCTTTCCCAAATAAAGTGAGGGAATACCCTCCCTTTCCCTCCCCTCCAAAGCCCTTCCCCTCTCTTCCCTTTCTAACTACCAAACACTAAGATAATTGAGAAACTAAGAACAGCTATACAAATGAAACTAAATCGGAAAATATGCACCCATAAATATAGGAGACATCGTCACTAAATTGTAGGAGACACTATCCAACGGAGTAACAATATGGAATAGTGGAGAGGCCATGGAGAGAGTGTCCTTCAGTGTAGTGCAGATGAAATTAGGATGAATATTCATGCTATAAAAGGAATTAGCAATTTCCGGGTTAGTTGATGAAGAAATCCGGCATTAACCCTAAAGGAGAACGTGGAGTTCACATCTTGTGCAAGAAAAACTGAATTGCCTAAATTCGAGGGCCGCAAATTGGATGGGCTGGGTTGACCAATTGGAGAAATTCTTGGATATACACGGAATTGAACACAAGGGTGTAACTTGGTGCGCTGGTTCTACTTTTTGAGTTACAAGATACTAGACTCCCGAATATTTGACGTTGACTTGACTATGGTTTGGGGGAAGGAGTATGGGCAGTGTGATTGAAAGATTGGCCACATCATAGCAAATGGGATCTATCAATGACTATATACAAGATTCTATAATATTGATGGCATAAGCATTAAAGATCCAGAGGATCAACTCCTGGGATTTTTTTTGGTGGATTGACAAATGAAGAAAAATGATCATTTTATGTATATTGGTATTGATCAGTACTGTTTGTATGATGACATCTATCTGTTCATTCTATTTCTGATTTATTTCTATCACTAGGCAGCTACAATACAAGGAATGTGCAAGACAGAGAAGAGAGTTGATTTTTTTGTGGTCAGCCAATTGGCTCACATGCACCAGTTCCTAAAAAGCATGAAGGTTACTGTTTTGGAAGAATATAACTGGACGGAAGAAAGGAAGACTTGTTAAGATGAATCCCTAGCAGGAGAAGTACAATGGGCAGAATAGAGCCACTCTAAGAACTCTTGTAAGACGGGGCGGAAGTTCACGAGGATGACATTGATAGACCAATAAAGTAATTAGTAAATCATAGAACTGGTTAGGCAGTTAGCATTGTTAAGACAAGGGATTATCCTAAATAGTATGAGATGGTTAGAAGAAGGGGCATTCGTATTTGTTGGTTTGGAGAGTTGAGCAGTGACTCACTTGTAAAGGGGAGGGAAAACACATGGAAGAGGATTATCGCCTTCTTTGGCCTCTATTTGTGATTCAGTAAACAATTACCAAAGTGTTCTTTCTCTTTCTTCACAGGTCCCTAACTCTCTTTTTAGAATCTAAGATTTTTATCTTAGTGACACCTGAACTAAGACCCTTTGATGTATATCAATTCATTTATCTTTCATTCTAAGTTAAAAGGAAATATGACTATTCAAAACAAAGTTAGAGATTAAATTAAAAATAATAACTGAAAATTTTAAGGACAAACATGATAAAACAAACAATGACCAGGGTCAAAAGAAGTTTATTTTCATCATTCAATGGGATTCTTGATATTAAAACCAAACATGGCATAAGTTGACCAGATGCAAAATCAATTTAGCTGCAAAACAAGAGGTCCCTATACCAGGTATGAAATTCACACAGAAGCTCAAATGATGAGAACCTAGATCATCAGGTTAATTATTTTCTTAATGTAAAACTGAGGAGCCTGTTTGTTTAAATTTTGGCCATCTAAGCACCCAGTAAAAGACGCAACTGTCAAGAGTGATAAATCCTTCAACCATGTGTGGCCATTTAGAGCCTACAAAAGGAACATAAAACTATATACAGTAATGGATCTCTACTTTGCCAGAGTGGTTCAAGTTCTAGACTTGAGCCCACTTGCCAAATTTCAACCACATTACTATGGTAAGAATCGCAGAAATCGGTCAGTAATAGCTGCAATAACTACCAACATCCCGGACAATATTATTATTGTTATTAGCATAACGACAAAATGTAAATCTATAAAGTAACAGCTAGATGAGACGTATTACTAATGATATATCAAGGAAAAATAAAAACAAACAGAAAAATCCAAATATCCTAGCAAATTAAAAAATCACTGATCCAGAATGATAACATTAATTCATGTATCATTTACCTTCAAAAATATCCAACATGCAACATTATACGAAGGTTTTAAAAATTGCAGTCAAGAATCAAAGTTGTGGACCTCAAAGTCAAGATTTTAGAGGTTTTAAAACAGCACAACAACCACCGCATATGCAACATTTGTTCACAATTTACCCGGTACTAGGACGGTGATGAACTGCAACAACAATTCAAAACCTTGTATAACACTTATACCATATAATAACCACCAATAAGCAGGACCTTTTTTTTTTTAAAGTACTACGCAACTGCTATCTAGGTCACTATTAAGATTTTTTATGCATCAACAACTGCAATTGAGGCCACACTAGCCACATATGACCGCATTGACCGTGATTTCACCGTGTCCATGATTCTTCCTTGTGTAAAGAGTCACGACCACGCATCAAGGCCGCACTATTGAGATTTATTTTATATACTCCTACCAACGCAATTGAGGCTAGACCAGCCACATTTGACCACATTGACCATTATTCTTCACCGAGTAAAGGATCATGGACCTCGACCACACTTTAAAACCTTTCAAATAACTTAAAGAGTCACCCTTGTCCAATACTAATTCTATTACAAATCAAACAAACCCTAAAATTCGATAAACAAAATCAATTCTTACTCGAGTAATCTCAAACTCAATAATCTCAAACTCAATGCACACAAAACCATTCCACCTAGTTCCATTACTTCATTCTATATTCCTAATCATAATCCCCAATGCCCGATATCTCGAATCAACTAATTAAACCAAATCAAACAAACACAAAACACAATCAAATTCAAATTCAAATAAAAGACCAGCAAAACCAACGACCTACATACATACCAGTAAACGGCTTCCGCTTAACAGCAGGGTCAAGCTGATTACACCACCGAAGTCGACACGACTTCCCGGATCTCCCAGAGATCCCCCGAGCGATGAGACTCCAGTTTCTAGCACCAAACTTACTCACAAGACCGCTGAGAATGGCGTCTTCTTCAGGAGACCAAGGTCCTTTCACTCTGTCTCTGCTGTTCTCGTTGCTGACAGAACCTTCCCCTAATGCAATTACACCGTCGTCGCCGCTTCCGTCGTGCACCGCCGTAACGGTAGGTTGTTCCGGTTCCATGACGGTTATGTTTGAAAAGTGAGAGAAAAAAGTGAAAGGGTTGTTTTGATAGAGACAGAAAATAAATAAATAGAAATATTCGCGCAAATGCTTCGGCGGTTGAAGAAACGGGTTCGGAACATTTTCAGGTAATTAGGTGTCTTCTCTTTGAATTTGAATTACAATTATGTCCTTGTCTCTTTTTTTATAAAGGGAAATTAGTTAAAACCCATAAGGGTGTACGGGTAAAATGTATACTATAAAATAGAAAAAATATTGTTATTGTTAATAAATAACTTTTTTTATATTGATTAATTTGTTAATTAAATTAAAAATTTTGTTTTGTGAACTTTTTTTCGTTTTCTAGTAAAATAAAAATTATATATTTTCTAAATAGTGTTGTTGATTTGTATACGTTAATGCATGAATATATAATAAAATGTTGTTGCTAGAGATTACATCGTAAACTAACATGATACACATTTTTAACTCCATTAACATTTATTAGTTCATCCATCTTTAAATTAATTTTGTTCCCATTTATTCATCTTCCCCATCAATATTTTATTATTATTTTGTCCATTAATTTTCTCGTCATAACGAATACATATTGGAGTAGATGGGATAATTTTCTAATTGTATACGATGATTATTTAGTTATTTAAAGTTTCAAAACCCTAAATCGATGTCGTTAATCTCTGATACGGCAGTGCGGTGATAGACTTCAAAGTTAGTACTCCAACGTTTAAGTCAGTTCAAGATTTAAGATGAGTGTAGTAAAAACTATATATCTGAAAATTCTCATTGCATTTCGTGGGACTTGAATTTATACCTTGGATCATGTTAAGTGGATTTGATTTGATTTGAGCCTTTGTACGACATATGACAATTGCCTCAAGGCTTTCCAAACGTTGAGGGAGTCGTGGAAGTTTTTAGTGGTCATGGTCGACCTCCAATGATGTCATATAATTTGAATTAGAAGTGAAACACTTGGAATTAATTGAAAAAGTAATGGGTAGAAAAGAGTATTTTCATCATTGAAATGTTTCACTACTTCCTTCTGACATGTGTGCTGGCATGACACTGCTTATTGTAACACCCTGTTTTCTTTAAATTATTTATTTAATTGAATTATGCTTTATTTATCTATTTAAATGAATTGTATATGCATTGGATTAATGAATTGGTGATTTAGCATGTTTATGCTATATTGAGATTGGTAGAAAAATATTTAGTTATTTAATTAAATGATTATATCATTAAATAATATTAAAATTAAATAGAAAATAAAGGTTTTTGGTTGAAAATAGAAACTATGAGGAATGTAAGGTAAGTGGTGGGAATTATAAGAAGTTGGTGCCAAAGTACAATTATTAGAAGGTTAAATTAGGTTTTCTAATAAAAATGGATTAGAAAATCTAAGAGTAGCCAGTACGTATTATTTTGAGATAAAAGTAAAAAGTCAAAGTGAGAGTAAAGTGAGAACAATGGTTTGGGAGAAAATCACCATAACCAAAGCTTATAGTTGGTGCTAGAAATCTAAGGTAAGGGGGATTACTCTAAATATTGTGTTAATTGCATGATGGGTAGGGAGAAGTCCTTAATCTTCATTATGTTTTTTTCTATTTTCTCTCATTGTTGAATGCTTGATGATATGGATGAAACTATTATGATAACATGATATGATTGTTGTAGTTATCCTAAAATTTGTGTATTGATTTACCAAGGAAATTAGATGTTTGTATTCATAAAAGTGTTATGAGTTGTGTTCATATGGTTGACATGAATATGATGAATAAAGTATTAAAAGTTGTGATTAATTGTTGAAATTGTGTGTTAATCGATTAGTATATGATGCTATAATGATAACATGTTATTTCTCGTACGTTTATGATCGATTAGAGGGTCTGGGGTGGAAAATCAAAGATATGAGCTGAAATTCATAGCAGAACACGAATTCTGCTTCTGTAACACAGGCGACGACCTGGCGTCAGCGGTCCGACGGGGACACTATCATGGCCTCCAAGCAAGAGTTAGGCCTTGTCGGTCATCACAATGGCGACAATTGAGGGAAAATGGTGATGACAAGCGTCACCTAGGTGACGGGCTGCCCGTCATCGTGTCGGTGGGTGCATTTTGGCATGCTGAGTTGGATTTTCAGCGTTGTTTTTTTGTGTGATTGATGTTTGACTGTTGTTTGGTGTGTTTTAATGAATTTTAGTGAATTAATTGAATTTTTTGATTAACTTAATGATGTTGAATTATGTTGATGATGAGTTAATTATGTGAATAATATATAATTGAAATTGTGGTGGGTAGTCCAGTTGTGGGAACTACTTTGATGTTGTTGTTTATAGTTAGATGTGGAACTTTAAATCTCTTGTTGAGTTGTTGTAGTTGTGCATTATAGTGTACATGCATCATATGTTCTAGTTGTTGTAAAAGAGGTGAATCACAAGTTCATATGTAGGGACTAGTGATTTGTCTAGAGCTCAAATGAATGGGTCTTAGATTCAGATGTTAGGACCCAGTTCATATGAAGAACCTTTGTTGAGTTGGTACCACATGCATGAGTTGAGTCATTGTTTCATTGTATATATAAAGGTTGTGCAAGTGAGTTGTTTTGTTTATTGTTGAGTAATTATTGTATTGATTTATGTAATTGAAATGTATGAAAGTCGATGTTTTTACCTTTAGGGTCTGTTTGGTTGGGGGGTTTTGGAGGGGAGGGGAGAGAATATTTTAAAATAGATGTGTTTGGTTCAATTTTTTATAAGGGGAGGGGATTGGAGGTAATCAGAATTCCTCCTGGAGCAATTTTTCGTTCCCCCGAATTGGGGGTTTTCGGAGGGGAGGGGAGGGAGATGAGTTATGATAACATGTATTTTTATTATATTGACAAAATTATCCTCACTTTTATTTAATAAATTTTTTAATTGTCTTTATTAGTATTATACCTTAATTTTTGTTACCTTATTATAATTTCTTCATTTGTTTAATGGCAACTCCATTATTTTTATTATTATGATTCAACTTTTTTTCCATGTGTTTTATTCTATTCATTTTTATTTAATATTTTGCTTGTAATAACTTAATTATTTTATAATTTGTTGTATTATATTACATATCAATATATAATTGTAGTATGAGTTATATATTATGTAGAATTTAATCTTATAAATATGTTACAGGATTAAATGGATCATTGATCATCAAGATATTTTAGAGTATTTTAAATGTTAAATATTTTGTGTTTAATTATCTACATTTTTTATGAATACTTTTTTTTTAAAATTTATTTAACATGATTGTTATAATATTTTAAGGGTAAAAAGGTAAATTAGTTTTAAACTCCCCCCCCATTCCCCTGGGAACCAAACATATATTTGAATAAAACTTCTCCCTCCTCTCCCCTCCCCTCCTCCTCTTATGAACCAAACATACGTTTAATTAAAATACATCCCCTCCCCTTTATTAAAATCCCCCCCCCCCTCCGTTGAACCAAACAGGCCCTTAGGCTACCCTTGCATTCTTTTACACCACTATATATTTTAAGCATATTCTCACCCCTTTGTTTTATCGTGGTGTTCTATGCTCCTTCTTGGGGTACAGACAATCAGATAGATAAGTAGTTGCTTTAGAGCTGAAGGATGACGTTGAAGCTATTCCTCTTTTCCATTTTTATGCATTTTAGATGAGTAGTTGCTTTAGTAACATAAAAATTATAATTTTTAAAATAGTTGTTGATTTATAAATATCAAACAATTTTTAAAATTTTGTTATATTAATGCATGAATATATAATAAACGGTTGTCAATAGAGATTAAACTCTAAACTAACAATTTACACTCGTTTAATTCAATTAAAATTTACTAGTTGAGCTACTTCATCCACTCTTAAATAAAAAAATTACTAGTTATTCATCTTCTACCTCAATACGTTATTATCATTTTGTCAATTCATTTTCCCATTACAATGAGTACATATTGGAGTAAATGAGATAATTTTCTAATTGTCTATCATGCTTTTTTATCACAAAAAATATTGTCAGTAGTCACGTGAAAATCACGTCACTAAAGCTAATATCACGTCACAAAGCCAAATTAGTGACGTGGGTGAAGCAAGTTGCAGGAGCACCCGTGGCAACTTGTATCACGTCACTAAATTGTGACATGATTATCACGTCGTAACATATAAAATTATTTGGCCCCCATTGCCACGTGAAAATCACGTCAATAAATTGTGACAACTTTTTCACGTCGCAACCCAATAGTCTGCAGCACAATTCAGTGTGTCAGTGTTAGCATCTAGTGATGTGTATTTCACGTCACAAATTAGTGGCATGTAAACCACATCACAAACCTCAGAACTGTTATTATTTAGTGACGTGGATATCATGCCACTAATGAGTTTTATTTTTCAGCATAATAGCCACATAATTTTTATTTCATAGAGTAATTATTTAATAATAAATAAATAAACGTAATTTTAAAAAATATAAAAATTAATAATAAATAAAAAGTAATTAATAAATAATAAAATGAAAATTTTAAAATAATTTTATATTAAAAAAGTTAATTTTTTTAATAATTATAATCATTAAAATATATGAATTTTTTAGTCACAGGATATTCACGCCACAAACATAAATAATAATTATAAAAAAAAGTTCATCATTATCACTACTAAATATATTATCTTCTTCGTCTTCATTTTCTTGGACAAAATGATTCAATTGTGAGGCAAAAATTTTCGCATTTGCGCCTCCATCTCAGATTGCCTCTTCTTCATTTCCTTAATTTCGGCCTTTAGCACCACCTTACGTGCCTTTGTCTCACGTCCCACCTCTGCCTCAAGTGTCACAATCTCGCATCTCGCCTCAGCTAGAGCCAGTTGTATCACTGTCTCCATCATTTCGGGTGTCAATTTCGGTAGACGAGATGTTCCTCCCCCATCTTCAAGTCTTTGAAATAAAGTTCTATCCTATTTTCTATAGTCGGCATCTAAAGGTCCAATACCAA